CAGGAAACTGTGGGAAGTACAACATTATTTTCCAACAGTAAACTACACAGTTTTAATAAAATAAACAAAGACATTGAAATGTTGTAGGAGAGGCGACTTAAAATATTCGCAGATTAGAAGGATAAAAAAAGGTTTCATGTTTTCATAATTAAGAGTTATTCCATTTCTGACATTTCTTGAGTGTTACCTGTTTTCTACGTCAAGAAAATATTTAATCAGTTTTCTGCAAAAACAGCTGGATATTAACTTCTTATAAAAAAAAAACATATTTAGCAAAGTATAAGAATAAGGTGGAAATTTGAGCTCCTCATTACTTTGATGTTAAAATTACCAAAATTGAGGTTAATAAAACATGAGCATTTTGTGTTTGATACATTTTATATTAAAAATAAAAGTTTAAGGTTTACGCTTCGTCATTTTTGAAAGCAGATTGAAGTCGAAACAAAGCTAGCGCTCATCGGAGACGTTGCCAGCTAAATTTATTCAATCAAAAAACGTGATTTTTTTTTTAATTGCTCTGCCATTAATTGAATTTATTTTCCTAATTCCATTTTGTGCAATTTTATGATCAATTTTAAATGCAGCTACTGATACTGGAAATTAGCTAACAGACTCTTCTTTCTTCAGATAAAGTTTCTACTCCAAAAGTTGTTTTTGTTTGTTCAACCTCCCAACACGTCATGTGGTGCATTCACGATCAGAAAGACGTTTTTATGTTCAGCTAGCCACTGGGAAGGTCATTTCTCTGGTTCTCTTAGTGTCTCAAATAATAATAACTCATAAAGATGAGTTATTTTTAATTGAACTAATTTTTATGAGAACAAATTCTGACTTCATATTGTCAGATCTTCCTGTTTTTTTTTAATTTACGATATTTGTGACATTTATTACAAATATATTGAGTCTTTGTGGCAACAAAAAGGCTCGGTTTGTTAACAAGCTGTTCACTTTGTAAGAAAAAAAAGCTGTTTTGTGAACCAAGTAGCGTAACAACTCGTAAATCCTTCCAGGTAAGTGGCTGATGAACAGAAACCACAGACGTTAAGTGACATAGACGGCCTTTATTGTCTGTTTTTGTAGTAACGATGCCCCGTTTTGGCCCAGAGGTTCATAGAACAAATTCTTTGGGTCACTGACTCTTTGTTTTTTCACCCGTCCAGTGAACCACACAGAGGAGCCTGGGTCTCTATGTTGCAAGTTGGCTGACCTCTCGCTCTCATCCTTCCCCTCCTTTTCTCTTAAAAAATAAATAAAGTACGCCCCCACCTCACCGCCTGCTCATCTCGCCCTCCAGCCGGTTCCCTCCCTCTCCCTCTGTCCAGAAGCTGCCAAGCTCCCCGAGCCTTAGTATGGCTAATCTAGGTGGCGGGAGGCCTCCCTCCTGCTAGCATACACAAGAGAGGGCAACCCTAATTGCTTATGTCACAAAGATCTCTGACCCAGATAAGCCTTCACTCCCCAAAGCTGCTGGGATAAACCCCACTTTACCTCACCAAACCTGCCTCTGCTGATCCACCGCCCCCTCCCAACATTTCTGCACCTTCTGCCACATTATTAGCACCCTGAGCGGGGGCGGCGGGGACGAGACTAATGAACTACATTTACTGATAAAACCTGATCTCATACATGGGAAAGAAGTAACTGTTATACTTTTACACTTCCCAAGTAAAATGGCTTCTTGTACATTAGCTTCATTGAAATGTAAACTTAAGCTAGAGAACCGAAGGTAAGTAAGTCTTCAGGCGCATGAATACTCTCCCTTATTGTGTTAGGAGTAGCTTAGACTTCCCTTACAGATGGAGCAATAACCGATTTTAGAAGGCGAGGGTGAGATAAATTAATCACAAATTAAAACAACACAGGACTTTATAAGATTGACGATGATTAGATGTGCCCAGGAAAGCCGACCCAGAGCTGAGGCGCAGTGTTGCGTGCCTGTGGCTCTCGTGTGCCTGGGCTCATTATCCAGCCCGGTAATGCAGGCTTAGCCACAAAACGCCACAGCGCCTCGGACTGTCGTCAAGTGCCGAATGTCACACGTGCTCTGCTTTACCAGCAGATGGCCCCGTCGCCGCTAGAGCAGCGCGGCACTCCATCAGGTCTTATTTGGTCACTGGAGGAGTGGAAACTTCAATTCCCTTATGGAAACTTCGTCTCCATAAATAATTCAGTCCCTATCGAAGCCTTTACTGAGAACTTACTGGACTCTACTTTAAAGCAGATCTTAATCACTAAGTAGGGCCTTTTAATGGGATGCTGGCCCTGCCTACTATGTAATCGTCCACCACCTGAAGCAGGGATGCCTTTAAACTTCAGCTCTAAGTCTAGTTACAGCACAGCATCAATGAACAGTAGCACCAGTTATCCTTGGGTGCGGTAACACTGCAAAGATCTCGTTCTTGTGTAACCCGTGGCACCGTTTGAGTCTAAAAGCTGTATTATGTTTCTCTGAGTTAAAGTATTCCTTATCCTCGCCTTAGGTTCTTCCCCTCCTGTTTAAGTGATACTTACAGAAACACCCTTGGCATTACTTGCCAATACAAATCCCTCTGGTGAAGTTAATTGATTGGATTTGTCCATTTCCAAGCGCTCAGAGGGCTTTCCGATGAGCGCGCCTGTCACGACGAACTCGACCTTGCATAACGGCTAAAACGGGAACGAATCAAACTTGTAGGAGTCAAGTTAACAAACGTTGTCCAAGAGGGATTTAATAGCAAGTCCAACACAAATCAGGCATTTTATCTGATAAAGAAAAGGAGAAAAAAAATACGGCATCATTTTTTTTAAATAAGTGAACAAATGAGAAAAATACAAAGATATTACATAACCACAGTAGATCATGATTTCATATAAATTTCCCCATCTGTAAATATCTGATAAATTATTTACTAGAGATGAAAAAAAATCTAACACAATTTCATGCTACAGTGTTCTTGCTTTGGGTTTAAAAAAAAAGGTTCAAACTATTTTTATTTTAGGAAAAGATCACAATAAATATACCAAACTGCACTACAAGTAAGAAGGGGGGGGAAATCCCTTCAAAAATAAGTATTACAGAACATATTTAACATTATCAGTAATCAAACAGCACCTTTATTTATCCATACACTAAAAATAAAGGTGTGTTTAATGCAGTAGATCATAACACAATGATTGAGTCTGGTGCACACCTTGACAATGCATTATATTCACACACAATACATTTTCAAGGGTTAACGCGATAAATTAATAAATAAAACGATGTAAAAAGTAAACAGTTCGGTTTCCAGTCCTTGGTGTTGGAATACAGCAGTTTTAAAGTTTTTGTACAATGTCAGTGTTGTGTATATTGTAAAGTTTCCAGTGCTTGTTGTTAAAAGTCATTTCTATTCATATTAAAGAAACTGTCACAAAGAGGTGTACGCGGTCGAGGTGTGGAGGAAATGATCATGCTTCAGAGCGCCAAACTTGTGCATAAATGTACCGCTCTCACTAAATAAAACAGCTTACAGTTGAGATGCAAAGACTACCGCCCTCTAGTGGCCAGAGAACAAGTTGATGGCTTGATCTGTTGATTTTTAATCAGGCTTGTGTGGATATCCTACATTGATACTAAAGCCGTGTACAAGCGTTTCAAAAATTCTCATTTAAATAGGAAATATAGCTTTTTCTTCCTTGTTTTGCCCCACATCTTAGCCAAGACAAACCAAGACGTTCATATTTTTCATTTTCAGTCTATCAGTACTGGGGGACACCACTACCTTCACTAGCAGATTATATTAAAAAATATTAATAATATTAATAATAATAGCTTGTTCAGTTTAGATGTAAGAATTTATTCTGTTTTTGCTCATTTGTCACATTTAATAGTTTCAGAGTCTGAAACAAATTTTAATAGTAAAGAAAAAAACTTGCCTTGGATTATAATCCCGCTACTTCATATTCTCAGACAATTCCTATTTAGTAAAACTGTGCCAAAAAATGTTTATAATCACAGTTAATTCTCACTTTAAAAAGAGTGCAGCTTGAATGGCTAACAAAATTATTATTTAAAACAGTATTTTGCATTTACTCAGGTTGTTGTTGCCTGATGTTAAACCTTAATAATCATTTAAGTCTGACAACATTCAAAAGCAGATAAAAGCTGTAAGGGACAAATGTCTTTTTATAGCATTGGGTTGCTAAGCAACTGCCTGTAATGGCTATAAAAATACAAAAAGTTAAAAAAAGAAGAAAATAAAGAAAGGACTACAAATCTCCTGTCATACCGTCTCTACTGTTTAAAATACTTTTAAGGAGATACTAAAGAAACATTGTTGGATAATTACTCTACAGCAATCATAGAGTAGCCACAGTGCCACTTCTCCAGCTGCTGCAGTGCACTGCATGTCAGCTGGCTGAAATTAGGTTACGACATAATTCTGCTCCTTACAAAACAAAGTTGGCTGTTTCAAAACATTTTTCTGTCATAAAAAAAGAAAAAAATAGAAAGTCAAGATATAGAAACTGACTCTCGTTACAAAAACACTTTAAAAAAAATAATAACTAAACTAAGCAAGCTCAGAGCAGCGTGTCTGTTGACTCGACCGAACTAATTAATCTTGACTCTATAAAGAGAAGAACATCAGGAAGTTTTAATATTCTGAAGACATTATGCACAATAAAAACTAAACTCAAATTTGGCATGTGTTTATTCTATTTTTTTTTACTATGTTTAAGTCTATGTATGATTAAAAATGAATAAATAAATGATATAAGTAACATTTTAAATATAAAAAACTGATACAAAGAGGGAATAGTTGTTGCTTTTCTGTTTTAGGGGAAAATAATGAGATCATGTTATGGTTCTCTTAATTTTGGTGTCAATAATGGGACACCGTCACATTTTTATGACAGGTAAAAACATGTCCTTGCCTACTCTTGGCTCTCGCTTTTTGTGTTTAAACTCTTCAGGCCAACGCCTCTAAAGTAGATATTTGACTAGAAATATCATTTCAAATGTGATTTAAGGCATTTTTTTCTACTTTTGTATCTGGATATCAACATAATGTATAAAGTAAGACCTCATATGTTTAGATTTTACCCAATAAAATTCAATCTGTGTGAATTTTATTATGCTAATTCTGGTTGCATTTGAACCAGAATGCAATAAACTGAATTATTATTGACCCATTTTTTTTTTAAATCCTATTATAAACTTTATGTGCAGTCTATTTTTTAGATAGACTTTAAATATTATATATAGGAAGTAGGAGAACAAGCTGAAAAACCCCCCAAACATCTATGTCGTAACTTTAAAAGTTGGACAGTCATCTTTTTTCCCCCCTCAGCATCGTCGGGTAGAGGACGGGTATTTGGTTTTCAGACCCTCTTTGAAGCTGCGAAACAAAATCCGGTTCTGTTTGTTCTCCTCCTCTTTCTTGGCGTGGAACTCCCCGTGGATCTTGAAGCCGCGGTGAACAACGAAGGCCGAGCTCAGCACAGAGAACCTGAATCCAGCCACATGCAGCTCGCACGCCTGGACAACAAAACAAAAACATAAACACCGGAAAACAGGTGTTGATGCGTGTTTCTGTAAAAACTGCAGGTGCACCTTAAAGAAATTAGACTGTGCTCAAAAAGTTTATTTATTTCACTAATTCAGTTCAAAAAGTGAAACCTGTAAATGAAGCTTAGTTTCTAGTTTATACCTGTAATGTTCACTGCATTGCATAAACATGTTGCTCGGCTTCTGAGGACGCACCATAGCAACCTGGGCCTGCTTACCATGATCGGCTTCATGGTAAGCTGCATTCATGTAGTAATTCATGCAAAAGGAGGCCAAAACAGGTGTTGAGCACATTTACTGTACATTGCATAGACATGCCTTTAAGTCAGTCCGCATTTTTGTAAGAAACATCCTTTTTATTGGCTTTGTGTTATTCTTACTTACTGAGAAAGCTAATTTTTGGGTTTTGTTGGCTTTAAAGTAATCAAAATGTACAGAAACACTCTAAATATTCCAGTAGTAATAATAATATATATGAGTTCCCCTTTTTTAATTTAATTATCAAAATAAATTACCATTTTAATTATACTCCAAAATAGTAAGATGCACCTAAGGGTTTATACAACTTTCATTAAAAAAAAAAGTTTGTTTACACATTTGTTAAAACTGTCATTATGTCCTAGTAAAATATGAAACAGATCCGTGAAAAAACAAACAAAAAATATATAAATAAAATAAAAATCCAGCTCCTCCACCAAATCCTCCGTTCCCAGTCAGAAACCACCAACCGGAGCCAGGAGGAAGGTCTTAGTGCTGTCAATCAACAGATGCTGCTCCATGGGCTAATGGTGGAGAAACAATTACCCTTCTAGGAAAACCATTCGTCCGCCGTCATTGGTGGTTATGCTAACTAGCATTAGCATTTATGGCAGGCTCTGCTAGCAGGGAGAAACTGTAGCATAACAGAGAATAACGGGTAGAGCGTGAACAGCACTTACACCAGCATAATTGACAGCGCTAAGACCCTCCTCCTGGCTCTGATTGGTTGTTTCTCACCAAGCTGTGTATTGCTGTAGTTAGCAGTGGAACCACTAGGAGACAGCAGAGGAGCTTGATTTTTTTATACATTACTTGTCTTGTACTATCGTGTCACAACATAGTGACGGTTTTAACAAACTTGTAAAAATCTTTTTGTTTTAAACTAAGGAACATTTGAAGTTCAGATTCTACCAACCTGGCTGATTCGATTGAAGCCATACTGCTTGAAGTTCTCGTCATATAAGGGGACAGTTCGAGGCCCGATGTAGAAGGGCTCCCAGGGGTCCACCCAGTTGAGTGTGTAAGCAACGTCCAGGGTGCCTGTCTCTCTAACGTGGCTGTTGACCCACTGGGAGTAGTTGGTGGGAGCCTGACAGCGTGGACACAACTCCTCATAAAACGGCCGGACTTCTCCCACCTGGTAAAGCTGTACCAACTCCGCCTTCGTCGAGGGAATCTTCCTGGCATGGCGGATCTCAAAAGCAGGGAGGACAAACACCTCATCGACCGCCGGTGCCCGCCTCAGGATCATGGCGAGGAACTGCTGGTGGAGGTCAGCGCTCGGCATCATGTCGATGTCAATGACCAGGATGTAGGACGACTCTGTGCCACCTCGGGCGACGTTGCGGAGAAGGTTGTTTGGGTATGAGATGTTTCCGCTCATGGCGTAGTTTTGGTATTTATCCCTGTGGGTTTCCAGTCTGGAGAACACAGAAGTGCAGTCTTCCAGGCCAGCAAAGTGTTCCCGGTCCTGTTCAGGGAAACTGGCTGTCTCTCCTGACAGGCAGACCAAGTGGAAGTCCACAAGGGCTTGGATTTGAGGGCAGAAGAAGCTGAGTGCATAAACCAGAGCCGTGGCAAATTTAACATCTTCCCCGTGTGCAAATATCGCCACAGAGAGAGGATTCTGCCATCTTTCCAGCAGAGATTCCAGGTGGTGCAGGTTGTTGATGGTGGTATGAGTGGCTAGTGTCAGGATGTCAGAGTTTGAGTGGGAACCTGGTTTCTGATTCGTTGTGAAATCACTCTTTATCAAGTTTTTGTATACTCTGTACTGGCCGCTGTTGTCAAAGATCCCACCACTGGACAGAGAGTACCTCAGCCGCTCCTTCCGCGTGTTTTTCTCGGGGTGCGCATTCTTCTTGGCCGCGGAGCCTCCAAAGAGCTCCGAGTAGCGGTAGCGCTGCTGCTTCCCGTGGAACCTGGACAGGAAGGACAGGTAAATGAGCTGCAGCAGCGCCACGATCAGAAGGGCACTCAGCACCACTTTGAACACGGAACACTTCTTGGAGAGATGCATTCCAGAGAAAACTGGATCCGGCTAATCACTGTTAACAAAGCAGGTCCGAAAACACAGGAGCTGGTTCCGTCCAGGCGCTCCAGCTAGCGTTGACTACATCCCAGCCACAGTGCAAACACCACAGCCTAACGGGGCTGTGTCGGGATGAACACTTCACCGGTTGTTGTGTTGCATTAAAGAAACATCAAACAGGACTTTAATACGATTTAAAATAGCACAGAAAATCAGTGAAAAGGTGCCAGATGCTGTGATCCATTAAATCAAAACACAGCACTGGTTGGCTGAGCGGCGGCTGCGACAGCGGCGCATGTCGATGTGTAACTGCCGTAAAGTCAGCAGTAAAGGCGCAGCTGGGTTTAATGTTACAGTCCTTTTAAGCAGTGCAAACAATCTACGCATTGACAAATAACGACAGGGTTCTTAATGATAATATATAAGCAATATATATAATCCCATAAAAAATTACAGGGAAAGTATTTTGTCACGCGAAGAATCTATAAATTTCACTGCGTAGGTGAAACGTAGGCATCCTGACGAGGTGGCCGAGTGGTTAAGGCGATGGACTGCTAATCCATTGTGCTCTGCACGCGTGGGTTCGAATCCCATCCTCGTCGAAATTTATGTTTTTTTTTCCTGACCGTCCCAGACTCACTAAACATATATAACAAAAACACATCAGATGTGACTACAATTAAAGACGGTGGCTAACTCTCTAAAGTCTTTAGGGCGCCATGTCATTAAGTGTGAACTGTGGCTGTTACCTGGTTTTCTTTTTTGCTGCTTTCTGTGGAAAACCAACAAAATTTACTCTGCTAAGCTCCCCGTGAATAGTCTTAACAAATATAAGGTGGTATTATTTAAAAACAAGGTTTCCTGATTTCTGTGGCTTCATTCAAAGGAATAAATTGTTCTGCAACAATGCAAAAATGGTTTAGGAATAGTTCAGCATAGATGAGATACAAAAACTATCTGTAGCAATATCTTTACCAGGAACAATATGCCTGAAGTATTTGGGGAAAATTACTTCCATTTAAAAATGGAAGTAATTGATAGTGCGATGGTCAGAATAATTTTAAACCAATGAATCAGAGGATTTTTTTTTTTATTTCATGCATTAAAAAAAAAAAGTTGCCATTACTACATACACCTTGGTGCCAGTATACTTGAGGCTCTAGTAATTTTACATTTAAACCTTAAATGAGGCAGTAACCGAGTCCCTGAGGAAATCATGTCTCATTACTTCTCAACAGACTGAAAAAGGCCTTAGTAATACTAAAACTTACAACTACACAAGTCTCTGCAGTAGGTTTCAAAATAGTGAAACAAATAAAAACTGTTAGCCGCATTAGACAGATTTATTTTATTAACAATTCTGAAGCCATTTCGCTAGTTTCTGCTCAATACATGGCGTCAAACTGCCTGACAGGGGGCACTTCCTTCATTCCAAGGATGACATTTTGTACAACTGAAAAACTATTGTAGGCTCCCACACATTCAACTTTTCTCCATCTGTTTAAGGTCATAGTGCAAAAGCTGAAGTGTTGGAAATACCAATGTACGTTTACATACAAACGACACTTAGATGTTCAAGATATTTTAGGTTATTTTCAACTCCGCACTACAGAACTCTAACATTTAAGAATGTGTTTTTCCTAATCCTAAAAAAGAAAATTATGTCAAACTGCCTGTAAGAAAATCAGCCATCTTAAAATAAAAAAGGGTATGCATTTAATTGGTAGTTGCTTATGACAGTATTTCAGGGGGGGGGAAAAAGATAAATGCAAGACAAATATTATTTATAACCAAACATAGAGACTCGGAATACATTTGCTTGAATCGGATGTGAAAAACCAAGTGTATTACATTTTGTAGAAATTACAGTAAAACCCCCGGTCCAAACATTTCCTGTGAAGAGTTCAGATTTTTTTTTTTTTTCTTTCGTCAAGGTTTAAATTTTCTTTGTTTGGTGATGCAGTAATCAGAAGGCCCTTCCGTCACTGTCCATCCTCACAAGCTACGACACTAAAACTCCAGCTCCGCTTTTAGATCCGCCTCCCTCGCTGTTGCCAGACGGCGCCGCAGACTGGCCCTGGGTGTCTCCTTCGCCCTCTCCGACCAGACGGATGTTGTAGCGTTCCCTGTACTCCGTTAGCTCCCGACCTTTCGCTTGCATCTGCGTGTTGATGGTCTCGATTACTTTAGAGATCTGAAAAGAGAAAGAAGTTGAATTAGTCATTTGTCGAATCTAAAATTTTGAGTGATAGAAAAAAAAAAAAAAGTAAAATCCTTTTTGGGAATTTTAAGGAAACAAAAGTGTCCTTTTAGCCATTAAATTACATATTCTGTTCTGTCTTCTTAAAACTATCAAGAATGTAATTCAAAATACGCTTTGTATAATTAGCCCTGCGACAGACTGGCGACCTGTCCAGAGTGACCCCGCCTCTCGCCTGGAACGTTAGCTGGAGATAGGCACCAGAAACCCTCCCGACCCCACTGAGGGACAAGGGTGTAAAGAAAATGAATGAATGAATGAATGAATGAATGAATGAATGAATGAATGAATGAATGAATGAATGGATGGATGGATGGATGGATGGATGGATGGATGGATGGATGGATGGATGGATGGACGGACTTTGTATAATATTATAGCTCTAACACATAAAAAGTTGAGTACAATGTGACTGTTTAGGAAAATAACAGCATTTATGTCAGTGCTTTTGAATAGAAATTATGGGTATTTCAGGATTACTCCATTTCATGCACTTATTTTTTACAATTCTCTTTTCAATTTTAATTACATTTTATTCAAACTAAAATTGAATTATTTAGATTTTTTTTTTAAAGTAACTTTTTCAATTTTGTTGTTTGCTACGCTGCCTATCTTGGCCAGAACTCATAGTAAAGAATCTTTTATCACAGGGGGATATTACCAGGTTATATGTGATATATTTTTTTTTAATTGTGTGAAAAGAACAAAGTGGTACAGTCACTACCCTCTGGATTACCTGTTCTTTGTTGTTTTCCAGTGCAGGTAGAACTTCTTTCACTGTTCTCTCCACCAACACTCCTCCTACCAGACGAAAGCATTTCCTCGAAGGGTCCACTTCCTTTAGAGTGTCAATTACTAAACTGAACAGAAAAGAAGGAAGTCAAACACGAGTTGAAAACGACACCACTGAAATTAAGCTATGAAAAAGTACTAAAACGAAAAAACTATTCTTCACAGAATCCCATACAAAATAGTAATATCACAGCTCTACTACTGCCTAAGTCAGCTGTTGCTATATAGACTATTATAACATAAGAAAGCAGAAAAGGCTGCAGAGGAGGAGACCTCAGTGACAAACCTGTGCTCGTTGATGTCCATCTCCAGCTCTGCAGCTTTAGACGCCATGTTGCGCTGTTCCTGGCGCATTCTCTGAAATGTTGCAACCACCTGTAAAAAAAGATAAAGTCATCAGAACTGAACAAATAAATGAATAACCTTCTGCACATTTATAAGAAAATACATCTTTTAGGAGTCATTTTATTATTTAACTACAGCTCTCCCAGTCAATTTGAAATGTTAATAAAATGTTAACAGGTTCTTTTTTTTTTTGTTTTTTTTTTTCAGTTAAAAAAAAGTGTTTCGTTTTCTTACCGAATTTAGATAAAAATTATATTTGAGATTGCAATGTTGGGCAAAAATGTGGATATTTTCTGACTATATGCTTCAACTTATCGAGATGCATATTAGAGGCATAAAACAGAATTTAACATGTACTTTCATTGTATGTGAAGAAGACAGCAACAAAGATGAGCCATTGTTTAATTAAAAATGTCCCAATATCTGTTCACTTTTTAGTTATATTTCAACCAAAATGAAAAAGTCCCACAACACAAAGTTCTCAACTTTTATGACAAGAGAGTGCCATCGTGCAGCATATTAAAGATAATTGAAGCTCATGTGAAAGATTGGGGACTGCAAGAATCCCACATTTGGGTTTAAAAATAGACTTTCGCCTCGTCATACCAAACCGCGCCGACAGCTTACAGTAACGTTAAAGTTTAAAGAAAATAACCAGAACAATAAGCCTGAGGTAAATAGATTTAAAAGACTGAATACACCAACTTCTCTGTGAAAATCGCTACTGAGAGGTTTTAGGAAGCAGACTGATGCTCAGATGATAGCGAAAGAGAGGGAAGCTAACGTTAGCGTAAGCTAACTGGGGGTCCAATTGACGGCTTTTCCTCCGCCAGACTCAGATGGGCAACAACAGTGTCTACACCGACAAAATGCAATCTGCGTGCAGGTGAGAGTACCTGTTCAGCCGACGGGCCGGACTGTTTTCCTCCGCCGCCACTGCTGCTAGTCTTGCTACCCGTGCTGCTACTGTTGGCTGCCATCTTGGAAGGGTGTTCCCGAGTAGGACCCCGAGCTAGATGTTCAAAGGGGGCTCATGAGGTTGCCTGTGCGCAAATACAGTTGAGAACAGAAAATCCAGATTTTTTTTTTTTTTACGTTTGACACCCCCGGCCATAATAATGTAAAATTGGTCATCTTAGCTGCTCCATGAAGATACAAAAAAATATTTTTATTACCATTTCAAATATCACCATAAACAAACGTACGTTCTTATTAACTCAAAAGCCTTGTTTGCCTCACCTACATTATAATTTAACATATTTACTCTTTGTATTTTAATCTGAGTTGTTGTGATCTGCAAAGCCTCATTCATTTCCAACTGGAGTAGTGTCAATTTTATTTATTTATTTTTATAGTGGCAAAGAATCCCCAGTAGATGGCGATAGAACGCAGCACGCTTGATGAATAGCAGATTAAACCACCTGTTCATAGCAGAGGACTGAGCTGGAACGCGGTTTTTTTTTAAGTGAAAGCGCTTACACGTTATCTGGCGAGTACTAAGTTGAATTTAAAGGTGATTTTGGCATAATCTGGATTGTGAGTGGATCAAGATGGCTTTTGGAAGATGAAATTATGGACATAGGATGGTCTATGGTAGAAAATACAAGAGGGGCAGGGGAGGAGGATATGGTTAAAAAGGGGTTAAATGCTGGTAAAAGATCTCTTGAGGATGAGGAACAAAGAGTTGAAATAAAGAAAGTAATGATGGAATATTTCAAAGTTACATTAAAATTTAAGGCAAGACACTATATGATTGGAGTAAGCCATCAGTCAAATTGATTAAAGAAAGCTGTTGGAGATGTAGAACTTGCTAAAGTCTTAAGGGATGGAAACCTACTTATCATTTGTAAAAATGCTGAACAAAAAACTAAGGCCCTAAAATTACAAATGGTGTGTAGAAAAAAAAGTGCTGGGAAGAAAGAGAAGCAAAAGAAATAATATCAGAGATTCCTGTAGGAGAAAACTTGGAGGAGCTAAAGAAAATAATAAAATGCAATGGTCTCATTTGACCCACTGGCTTCCAGCAGGTTCTTCCTGCTGTTTTTACTGCCTGCTGTGAAATGAATTGCCACCAGAATAATAAAGATGAATCGACCTTTGACCCTTGTAGTGGGTTTGTCAGCATAAAGGTTAATGTTTAAAGAAGTGGAAGCAGTCAGAAAATGATCTGTCTAGAAATGGAGCCGAATATTTTCCAGACTAGAAATAGACAGAAATATTAAAGCTGAGCTAAAGCGATCAGATCTCCCAGGATTTCTGCTGATCACTTCCTGTTTTATTGAACTACCTCCTGTATTGATAAGTTAACAGGAAATGACCTGAAAGTTAGAAAAAAAAAACTGAAAAAGTTTAAATCTGAGCTCAGAGTTTTACAGCTCAGCTCACTGTTGATTCAAAGAGAAAACATTAAAGGTGTTTAAAATCACCTGGGCAGGGGGTGGAGCCTCAGGTGGAGTCAGGTATCAGATCAGGAGAAATGGGGTCAAAGTTCATTTAGCAGCAGAGCAGAATTTGGATCAAGGTGAGTGTTCACTTCTTCTTGTTTTCCTCTCTCTGGGTTTTCTCTCTCTGGAGGAACCAGAACCAGAACTCGGCCCGGTTCTCCTTCAGCTTCAGCTCTTCACATCTTCACAGGAAACAGACGAAGCTTTGATTTTCTGACAGATGGACTCAAACTAACAGAGAAGCAGGAAGTTCAAACCTTTGTCCCCTCAGTGGGAATCTTGGACTGACTCGTTTATCCTGATTCTTTAATCGTCTCTCTTGGAGAAATTTGACTTTAGTTTGGTTCCGCTGCTTGTGTTGTACTCTTCCATATTACCACCAAAATAATAACTACATTCATAGATTAATAATGGACATTAAATAGATTGAAACCAAACAGCTGCTCCAAACTCAAAATGCTTTATTGCGGAGCTAAAATGAGAAGTTTGTTATCTGGTAGTTTTTTTCTTCTGCACCTGTTCCTCTCAAACTCTGTTTATTGATAAATTTACCTGATAAAGGAAGGAATGAACGCTTGTAGCGGAAAAAAAGAGGAAATCTTTGCCGCTCGGCCCCCGAGTTCAGTAAAGCATCCTCAGAATTCAGAACATGATCTGTTAAAATCCCGTCTGCCTGCTGAGGTTGATCTGCTCCAACAGTTCTGGAGGAGAGAGAGGAGCTGTCCTACCCACAATCCTCTCTGCTGGTTTAATCCCTTAAAATCTGATTTTACAGTCAAGTTACCAAAGCAGCATGTAATGTTCTGCTGTAAAAAAATATCCTCCTAACATCAGAACAAACACCAAACCTCCAGAGTCTGCAGAGAAAGTTTGCTATTTGCCAGCTGAGGTCATCATCAAGGTCAACTTCCAACTGTATGAAGGAGTGTGTGATATCATGCTGGTGCACGGCCACCAGGAGAACATCAGAAAACATCTCAACATGTAAATGTGGCAGAGAGACAGCTATTGGTGGAAAATGTGACCTGATGCTCCCACAGTCCAAAAACATGACTGTCAGGTCAAATTGCCCCTAGGTGTTAGCTGGAGATGGGCACCAGCACCACTCCCGACCCCGCTAAGGGACAAGGGTGTAAAGAAAATGGATGGATGATACAAAGTGAAAACACAAACATGATTCCTGTTTAGACCTGGAATCATTTTCTTCCTGAATTCATAAGTTCTCCAGATGTTTGTGAGGAGATGAGCCAGCAGACCTCAGAAGGTCATGAAGGAGTGAAGGAGAGGACAATTCAAACCAGATGTTACCTACTGGAGTCAGGTTCCTCTGATCCTCTGAACACATGATGGGAACCACTTTCTGCTTCATAAGACAGTTGCTGGAACTGGATCACTGGGACTGACTGGTTCTGGTTTCTCTCTGCAGACTTCCAGAAGATGGAATATCTGGATCTAAAGGAGGACGGAGCAAAACCTCCAGGATCCATCAGTCCATCTATGAGGAGTGACCAGTCCAGAGGAAACATTCCAGACTTCAGTAATGAACCTGGACCCTCAGACAGAAAGTAAGAAACCAGTTTCTAACTGATTCATGTGATGTTATAGAGATAAAATATAAATGATATTAACTGGTTGATCTCATTGTTTGAATAAAAAGTCAGATTTTTTATTTTAAATTAACTTCAAGTTAAATAAACATGAAGGATTTTGGTCAGTAAACCAGAGTTTGAATGAAGGTCTGAATAAATCAATGATGAAAACATTTCATGAAAAAAAAAAAAAAAAAAAAAGACCAAGAATGTGAAAAGCAACATCTCAGATTATATACTGGAGACACTGGGCCCAGTTTATTTACTGGGAACACTGGGCCCAATTTATCCAGGTAGGCTGATGCCCTGGCCACACCCACCGAGTCTCAGCAGCTCCAAACACAAAAGGTCAAAGGTCAAAGTGACTCTAGCGGACTTGGTCAGTCTCCGGTTTCTGAGGTTCTGCTTCCGGCACTTCCTGTTCCACCATCACATTCAACCAATCACAACGCTCATTTCACTGACATCAGTCAGCTGCAGACAGAAGGTCAAAGGTCAGACTGGAGACTAAAGTCTGATAAAACTCTGAATTTTGCTCATGACAAGTAAAATAATATCCTAAAAGGCTCAGATATTAAATCCCAGGAAACATAGTTATTAGTGACTCTTGTTGTTTAATGCAGAATAAGATGTTTTAGAGTATAAAGAGGTGGTCAGGTTAATCCTTGATGTGAAGGTTGTGGGTTTGATTCCTGTTCTCAGACCAGTTGCTTCATATCTTCCTCTACTCTCTCCATCCTCATACATGTTAAATTACTTTTAAATATCAGCCATTAGTGTCAAAAATGTCTTCATATTAATGTTTTATCAACTGTTATCCCTCAGTGTAACAGCTGAATAAAACAATTCACTTATATTGATTCAGACATTTGGGTCAACTTTGTGGTCCTCGGTACCTGTTCTATACTCTGATCTCTTTTGTAAATTCATCAGTAAATCCAGATATTTTAAAATGTTAAAATGTGAAGATTAATAATATTAGACGGTAGAGATTGATTATTTTAATAATCGATTTTATTTTCAACACCTTCAACCAATCAGATCAGATTGAAAAAAAATGTTTAGTTTCTGTTCAGACAAACCAGACGGGCTGAACAAAACCTGATTTAATGTTTTTGGTGACAAAGAAATCCAGAAACAGATGAGACGATTAGAACCAGATGGAAATGAGAACCAAGTCCATAAAAGGAACCAGACCACCTGAATAAAACAGGAACTGGGCTCAATAAAGATGGACTGTAACTAAAGACTACAACTGCAAACAATAAATCAGGACAACAAAACTACAAAGTGAACAGAGCCTAAGTCCAAAGGATCATCATGAAGTCAGATTTAGTAAACCCAAATTTATTTGGCTTAGAAAAGACGTGAGTGAACTTTAGATAACTTGTTGTTAGCTCTGCTAACATTCCACAGTGTAAGGTTTGCTATAAAGAGCTCAGATCAATGCAAACTGGGGCTGAGTTGTGTTACTGGTGTTCCACCATTAAAGAAGGATCCAACTTTCTCCACTGCACCCCAGATTGGAGTCAGTTCTTCATTTCTTTCAGCGTCTGATGGATCAGTTTTCTACTCTGGCTCAGACAGAATAATGACTATTGTCCCTGAACAGATTTCAGAGGGACAAATACAACGAAAGGAAGATCAATCATGGTACCAGATGTAATACAATGACGTTCTTCAAACCAGAGGTCATTAGTATTCTGAGGTTCTGTTCTGACCCAGTTTCTGGTCATGAACATCTTCAGCTTCAGTAGGACAGCTCCAGCCTGTTGTTGGTGAACTATTTCAGTGATGAAGAAATGTCTTTACTTGTCCAGGGTGAACCCCAGCTCTAGCCCGATTACTGCTGAACATTGGCCCGTCCATGATCCTGCAGAGATCAGAAGTGATAGACGATGGATGGATGGATGGAGGAAAGATCTTCCTGGATGGATGGAGAGGAGCAGCTGTGCTCCAGGTGACACTGAATACCTCCAATCGTATCTGTTGGATCAGATCCATTCTTTAATTGAGATTTGGATATACAAGGTTTAAAAGTCTTTTTGTGACCAACTATTTCAACTAAGTCTGTGTTTTTCCAGCAGGTGTAAATGGAACGTATGTGTTGGTAACGCTGGTTAACATAGTCCTCATTTAATGTTGGTAAATTATGACTCTGGCTATTGTTCAGAAAAATAGCCACAGAATATTATTTGACAAGTGGTCAATAGATAAAACATTTCAGACAAAATATTTTAAAGATCATTAAGAGACAGCAATGCAATGTTTCATGTTATATTATTTGGGTTAAAAAGATGTTTTATTTTAGCTTTTAAAATTATGAGTGAAGATTTTTATTCTGAAGGGTCATGTTGAAAACCAACCCATGTCACCAGCTCTATGTACAGTAAACACGTTGTAGGATCAATATGATGAGGCTTACATTTAATTTATTTTGGGTCAGGCACATTACAAGGTTTAGAGGAATGATAAGGAGAGCACCAATGTGGTATTGGTTGATATGAAACATAAAAGGTATAAGAAGACAAAAAATAAAAGAAATAGTTATGAGTGACCAAACTGCCCATTTACCCATGTGGGTAATCCAGCCTTGCAGACAACTTTTGATCTACTTTTAGGGGTTATTACACCAGGCCTTTAAGATTATGCTGGAAAATTGAAGCTGGAAAACCCAAATGAAGCTGATGTTGTCTTCTGACTGCAGCATCCAGTTTGGGAAATGACAAAAAGGGCGATTCCACCTAATCTGACTCTATCTTGAGCAACTTTAATGTGTTCTACTTAAAAAATTTAAATACTTGGACTTAAAACGTGGTGTAGATTATTGTACACTTAGACCAGAATATGTTTGTAGTTTGTAGTTTCTTGTGAAACCTATATTCAATTTGTGAAGCTTTAATACAGGTTGATTTCAGTGCTTTGTCTGTATCTGGACCGCAATCATCTGGACCACAGACATGGTCAGAAGACTGGGCAGGAAGTGATTTAAACTCTGGTAGAGGTCGTAGAAATGTTCCCTGTTCAAGTTCTGGTTGAGGTTCAGCCTGGCAGATGGTGGTAAATGTAGAATGCAGTATATTATACTTCAGAGAACCTTGATTTGAAGTAGCTTTGTTTTCAGCCCTTTGTGCTAAATATAGCAAATCTGAACATCTGCTTAAGGCTGGAAAACGCTCAAAGGAAACATTTTTATCTCTCTACCTCTTCTGTTGCTGATGTTTGTGGAAGAAAGTCAGGTAGAAATAGTAAAATTAGGACAATTTTGACATAATGTAGAAGAGCTGATGTTGCTTAAAGCTGCTGCGCTCAATGTTCCAGATGGTTTTGTTCCAACTTAATCACTATGCCTTTTTTATACTACAGTTGTCTTCTTTCTTCCAGGAGATGTTGGTCTGCAGGAGGTTCTTCAGGAACATAAAATAATTCTGAGGATGAGATGTGAATGTGTGACTGAAGGAAGTGATGAAACAGGAAGTAGAACCCTCCTCAACACGATCTACACTGATCTCTACATCACAGAGGGACAGAGTGAAGAGGTTAACACCCAGCATGAGGTGAAGCAGCTGGAGAGAGCTTCCAGGATCCAGAAGCATCATGACTCTGCAATTAGGTGCCATGACATCTTTAAAGCCTTCCCTGACCAAGATGGAGTCATCAGAGTGGTTCTGACCTGTGGTGTCGCTGGTGTTGGAAAAACCTTCTCAGTGCAGAAGTTCACTCTGGACTGGGCAGAGGGTTGGGAGAACCAAGATATTAGTGTGGTGCTTCTGCTTTCGTTCAGGGAGCTGAACTTGATCAGAGATGAGCAGCACAGTCTTCTCTCACTGCTCCATGTTTTCCATCCAACACTCCAGAAGATCCCAGCAGAGCAGCTGGCTAAATGCAAACTGCTCTTCATCTTTGATGGCCTGGATGAAAGCAGACTTTCACTGGACTTCAACAACAGTCAGCTGGTTTCTGACGTCACACAGAAGTCATCAGTCAACGTTCTGCTGACAAACCTCATCAAGGGGAACCTGCTTCCCTCGGCTCTCATCTGGATAACTACCAGACCTGCAGCAGCCAATCAGATCCCTCCTTCATGTGTTTCCAGGGTAACAGAAGTACGAGGCTTCACTGACACCCAGAAGGAGGAGTTCTTCAGCAGGAGGTTCAGTGATAAAGAGCTGTCCATCAGAATCATCTCCTACATCAAAACCTGCAGGAGCCTCCACATCATGTGTGGAATCCCAGTCTTCTGCTGGATCACTGCTACGGTTCTGGAGAACATGTTGACCTCAGAACACAGAGGAGAGCTGCCCAAAACCATGACTGATATGTACTCACACTTCCTGCTGGTCCAGAAGAACAGGAAGAACAAGAAATACCATGGAGGACATGAGACAAGTCCACAGGAGCTGATGGAGGCTGACAGGGAAGTTCTTCTGAAGTTGGGGAGGCTGGCATTTGAACATCTGGAGAAAGGAAACATCATGTTCTACCAAGAAGACCTGGAGCAGTGTGGTCTGGATGTCACAGAGGCCTTGGTGTACTCAGGAGTTTGTACAGAGATCTTCAAAAGAGAGAGTGTGATCTTTCAGAAATCAGTCTACTGCTTTGTTCATTTGAGCATCCAGGAGTTTCTGGCTGCCGTCTACATGTTCCACTGTTTCATCACCAGGAAGTCAAAGGTGATGAAGAGATTTGTGGGAAAAGAATACAGAGAAACATCTCTGGAGGACTTCATGGAGAAAGCCATGAAGAAATCCCTCAGCAGTGAAAATGGTCACCTGGATCTGTTTGTCCGCTTCCTTCATGGTCTCACTGTCGAGTTCAACCAGAGACTCTTAGGAGGCCTGCTGGGTCAGACAGAGAACAGTCCAGAAACCATCCAGAGAATCATCACCAAGCTGAAGGAGATGAACAATGATGGAATCTCTCCTAACAGAAGCATCAACATCTTCTACTGTCTGATGGAGATGAACGACCTCTCATTTTATCAGGAGATTCAAAGCCTGCTGAAATCAAGGAAGCATCTCTCGGTGTCCAACTGCTCAGCTCTGTCCTTCATGCTGCAGATGTCACAGAAGGTTCTGGATGAGTTGGACCTAGAGAAGTACAACACATCAGCAGGTGGACGACGGAGACTGCTTCCAGCCATAAGGAATTGCAGAAAGGCTCGGTGAGTCCAGATGTTTTCATTGTGTGAATGCTGATTCAGCACTATTGTCCTTCTGTTTCTTCTCCTTTCTTCAAGTTGCTTCTGGGTGTTTTTGGCCTTTGACTACTTCCTTCATCCTTTGGACTATTTTAACCATTCAGGACAGCTGCAACATTTGGTTTTTAGACATTTTTGATCATTTTAAAAATATTACATGCTACAATTAAGCATATGTTTATGATCCAAATTGATTTTATTAGAACTGACTTTATTTCTTCTCTAATCACAGACTTGGTAGCTGCATGCTTGAAGGGGCTGAATGTGAAGTTGTGGCCTCAGCTCTGAAGTCCAACCCCGATCTGACTGAACTGGAAATAAGTTGGATCACTGAATTGGCTGACTCTCATACGAAGCCTGTGTGTGAGATCCTGGAGAGTTCAATCACTAAAGTAAAGGACCTGAGGTTTGTTTTCTCTATTTATCCAATAAAATCCTTAATTGATACTTTAATCCTTAGTTGATTTAGTAACTCTAATATACCTTATGAATGAATTATTTTCTTATTTCAGACTTTAGGATTATTTGTTTTTCAGTTTTTTTCACTTTAAAATGTTTTTGCTCACTGAACAAAAATAAGTCATGATGTTAATTAATGATGGAGATGTTTCAGTTTGTTTTGGGAAAGATTCAGATTGTTTTATTTCTACTTTCTAATTCACATCTTTAGATCCAGAATGACATGTTTTCCGCCAGAGTCGAGCCAGGGCGGCATCCAGAAACACTGACAAGTTCAAATAGTCATTAATGACGACATCTAAGAAATGACTGATTGTAGAAAAGCAAATTTATATGAAATGAATGAAAATGAGGGCAGTAGCAGGTTCCTCAGCTTTGTCCTGAAGCTGTGGTTCTGTTGGGCCGGGTCAGAGAGGAACCATCCTTTCAGTCTGACAGCTGTCAGTTGGTTGGAGCCTCGTCTCTGTGAAATGCTTCATCAGGTCACGTCTCCTCAGGAAATAATGGCCTCCATTGGCTCTCAGCAGCTTTAATAAGAACCCAAGGCCATTCATGAAGAAACTGAGTGGTTCTGATCCAGTTACCAAGTTGGCTCTCCAGCTGATTATTGTCAACTAATAGCAGAATATTTACAACCATGTTTGTGATTTGTGAAACTTTTATCTGATTTGTGAGTCATCTATAAAGGGCAATTTCAGCTATGTTTTTACTACCTTCAGCATTTTTCGTGAGAGAAAACAAAAAACAAAAAATAAATATAACATAAAAATGATGAAAATTTCAGATGAGGAGTTCAGTTCTCATGTGGTACAGATGCAAAAAGAGAGCAGAGGTTGCCTATTCAGCTCCTTTGGTTTCACATTTGAGGTTTCTGCTGTGGACGACCTTGAGGACAACCTCTGACCTCACCTGCCTCCTTAACTTGGCCCGCTGTTCATTAAAGGGACCCTCCCCCATCTACCCTTCCTCATGCTGTGATGTGACAGTTTGGTTCTGAAAGTCCGTTTTAATTCCAGTCCAGAACCACTGAAGGTATGATAACATGTTCTGGTTCTGCTGGCTTGGACTCTTTAAAACAGTTTGCCTGGATCAGATGTTAGACATTGGTTCATCAAGTTTCTGAGACTTTTACATTCTGGGAAATTAATTTTCTACATTTTTATTTATTTGTTCATATTTCAGTTTTAACCTGCATCTTGTTGGCTTCAGCTCACATCTTTTATTCTTTATTCAGATTGTTTAACTGCAGGTTGTCAAAGACCAGCTGGGCTTCTCTGTTCTCAGCTCTGAAGTCCAAATCCTCACATCTGACACAACTGGACCTGACAGGCACCAGCCTGGGAGATTCTGGAGTGAAGGAGCTCTGTGGTTTTCTACAGACTGAAGGCTGCACATTGAAGAATATGAGGTATTCTAATTATATAATTATTAATATTATATAAATATATAACATGTGAATAATTAAGTATAATTGATCTGAAAAGTTCATATCTTCTGTTCTAATAAATATTTTCTGAGTTTGTTTCTGGATTTGGATCCAGAGTTTAATTTAGTCCCTCTGTGTAACTGAGTTGGACCCGCTGATCTGAAGTCAGAACAGCACAGCGTTCGGACCCCCCAGTGTGTAGAAATCCCCCTTCATTCAATCCAATCTAGAAAAGTTAATTCTAGCTCCTGGAATCTGACAGGAACAAATCTATAATCAATGATTGATGCTTCAACACCTGGAATGATTGTACTGACTAAAATCTTCCAACACAACATGACCCAGTACCAGGTTCTAGTTATGAAGTCAGCAGGTCTTTATTGAAGCAGCATCATGTTGGCTTTAATATTCATGAGAATCTTTAACTGGTTCTGTTGGACTGGTTAACCTGCATCCTGTTGGCTTCAGAAAACATCTTTTATTCTTTATTCAGATTGTTCAGCTGCAGTTTGTCAAAGATCAGCTGTGATTATCTGGCCTCAGCTCTGAAGTCCAACCGCCTCCATCTGACAAAACTGAACCTGGGATACAACGACCTGACAGAGTCAGATGTTCAGCAGCTGAAGGATCTTGTAAAGACTGTAGAGTAAGTAAATATTTGTAGTGAGTCTAGCTCCTGTCAGCATATTGAACTAAACCAAGTTAGCATCAAACCAAAGACCCAGTGTTCCCAGAAAAGCTGCAGCTTCTCAGTAGGAGGAGAGTGGTTCAGGCTTCCTGATTGGACACAGAGACAGCAATCAGCCAATCAGAGGAGACAGCAGCTTGCTCTGTTCCTGTGTTTGTGTTGATGTGAAGATTATTGTTGTTGCTGTGTTCATGTCTCCATTAAGTCCAGCTGGATTCCATGTCTAGGGACGTCCAACATGTCTCTCCATCCTTCTTCTCTCTGCAGGTGGCAGACATGGTGATCTATGCAAAATAGAGGATGGTCCTGCAGCACTTTGAGTCTGAAGAGACTCTGACTGGATCATGACCTCTGACCTTAAAGATTTTCTTCCTGTTTATTTTCTCATGTCTGTCATTTAGTGTCTGATATTGTTTGTCTCTTTGGATCAATAAAGATCCAATTCAAACTCTGCACCATTTACAGGCTCCATGGAGTTTTGATCTGAACTGGATTCAACTGGAAAGTTGATCTTTTTTCTCTCTGATTCTTTTCCATCCGGGAACCAGAAATATTCTGAGAATGGAAACATGGGAATCATTTTCAGTTCAGCTTTGAATCATGAAAGACACTTCAAACCTCTTTTCTGTGCTGCTTCTTCCTTCTGATGACATGAAAATGTTCCTCAAAGCTCCACAGATAAAAAGATGCTTTACTGGGAACTGCAGAGAACCTTCAGTTTCCATCACAGAAACCAGTTTAACCAGTTTAGAACTGGATGTCCTGACAAAACCCTGATCTTAGGGCAGTTTTCAGGAGCATCCATAATTTTATCTGAAAAAGAAAATTATTTTACATATTTTTATATTTTTATAGTCATTATAAAATCTCTAAAGTTTTGCATCATAGTCATTAATTCCCTGTGCTTTTTTATTATGTATTAGTATTGTATGTATTTGTATTCATGTCTATGACTCTAACTCACTCTTTCTTTGGTTACCTAGCAGCTTATACATTCTTTGGTTACCTAGCAACAACCTGTTGAGTAACTTGCAACAAATTAAAAAACAATTGTGTGGAGTGAAAACAGGATAAAAAGGGAAAATTTCACGCCACCAGTTTGGTAGTATTTCAGATCATTAAAACAAAAAACTAATAAAAAATTATCAATATCAATAATTACTTACAGACTGATGTGAAACACTTAACTTGCTATAAGTTTTTCAGCTATATCATCCAGCCCTAAGTTCAATAGAACTCTTAAAAAATGTGTTTCCTTCACTTTTGAAATGACGTTTATGAAAATTGAAGTCTGACTTATTGTCACACAATAAATCAGGAAATACAAGTTTCATTTTACGTGATGTTGGCAAGTACAACATATTGTTTTAACAGTTTTACTTGAACGGCATGTTGTTTTGTCTTTCTCATTTTGAATACTGGCTAAGAAAACCAGGTCTGTGTGCTATGCTGTGCTTATACGACCCGTTTATAAACTTAATTACAAGAAAAGTAGAAATCCAAAGCAGTTTGTTATATTTAACGTATAGCACCAATAATTATGGCAAAACAAAGAAATATATACAAACGGGGGTGCTGTGTTGGTGCAGTGGTTAAGCACAACCCACATAAGGAGGCCTGAGTCCTCGACACGCCGTCGCAGGTTCGATTGTGTTCGTTTGTGTACATGTGTGTAAATGTGTGTGTTTGCGTATATAGTTATACATTATATATGTATATATGCAGTTAGATGTGTATGTGTATATATATGTATATTTGTGTGTATGTACTTTTTTCATCTGGTTGAGGAGCTGTTTCTATTTAGAAGGGATATGAGAAATGGGAAGACTATGTTACAAATTATTGAATGGAAAAGGGTATATGATTATTATGGATGTTGTAGCTGTGGGCAGGAAGGATCATCTCCAGTGTCAAGCAGTCATCTAAAGACAGTGTTGCTGTCATGACATGCTAACATCTAAATATTCGGGATATTGGTTTTTACACATGACTGGTGAGTGGTTTGAGCCATAGACAAACCTCACCTATGACTTGCAAAAATGTAATAAAGCTGACCAAGGGGTGGTATGTATGTTACAACAAGGACATTTGAACCCATGCTTAAACAAAGACGAGGTGTTGTGCGATTGGACTCACGAAAAACCTAGGGACATGCTATGGCAGATAAGTCCACATACACTGTGCATAGCTACAATAAAGAGTCATCCTCAATTACCTACTGTACCATTTTCTGGGTGTTTGAAAAATGTGTATATTTGGCATTGGAATAACCAGACATGTCGTTTGACCAATTTCACTAGTGCTTCCCGATTTACAGACGTGCAATGGCAAGTCCTGGAAGTACCGTGGCAGGTCTCTCTGGATCGATTTAAGCGCGCGTTGAATGGATCCACAGTCCTGCAGAAAATGATCCAGTCACATATGTCTAATGTTTCCAGTCTCAAAATATCCACATTTATAACCTCAGGAGAGGTGAAGCATGCGGCAAAAATTATTGAGCAATCTTCTGCATATCATTGGTGGGACATTTTTAATGGAATGTCAGTAACTGCCAAAACGTACTTCATACCCCCTCATCCTTGCTTTGGCAATATGTTTGGTGCTTTTGACAACATGTAACCTTTGTACTTGTTTGTATGTATTGCATGTTAAAAAGACCCTAATTAATAGAATTTATAATGTAGCCCTAGAATGAAAATTATTCTATGTATTCGAGACGGTTGGTATGGCACTGACGTAGCGACACTAATAGTGGACTCTTCTGAGCTTAGAGATGTGTTTGAAATCGACTATTGGGTAGGTCAGCATCAATTTATAACTTTGGGGTCTGTGGAAAGTGATAGAGTGGAATTTTTGAATAGGGTAGTAAATTTATGGGATCAATATACAAGCTCCCAGTGGTCTATGAATAATGGACTGTATGGAGTTGAGGAGCCTTGGGGACAGTATTTTCAAAATTAATGATCAAAGACCAAGGGGTGGAATGATAAATAAATATTATATTTGTTCTTTGATAATGTCTTATGTACTCTTTATATAACCTTCATAATCTGTTCATGCTTTAAGTTTGTGATAGGTATTGTTGTACACGACTTGGGAGCGTGGACAGTGGCCGGTTGTCACGTAGCTGATCACGTTCTAAGTTCGTGCTAGATATTTTTGGATGCATGGATAATAGAATGGTTATTCTGTGTTTCATGGTCTGCTCGCCCTGAGTTCGATAGTGAGGGTCATGTCGTCCCTTGACCATGAGGGGTCATTTTGACCTGATTCGAACAATGGCGGGAGTAGGTGGCTAGACATGAAGTGTGAAGTGGCTGCACTATTCCTGGAGAATCTGCCTGGGAGAGAGGAAATGGCCATTCCTCGCTCTCACGCGATTAGAGGGTATAATAGACGAGGAGTTCTCGGTCTTGGCAGAGTCTGCCGTGGGTCGCGTACGGACGCCCGGCCACGTGATTGCTACTCTGCCTGGATCGACGGCTCTCTGGTCCATGTGTCAAGATAAGAGGGAAAGATATATTAGAAGACAATATATATAGCATCACGTATCAGTGTGTGAATGATTGCTTTGCTGTGCAGCATTGCTTTGCTGTAATCTGTGGGGAATAAAAGACACATTTATTCTACCAGACCAGCGTGTTGACTCATTCTTGTTGCCGATCACCTCCGATCCTGTCTAAAATTTCACAAAACAACTGTGGAAGAAGAAATTTTCTCTGCTCTGCAAACAAACACAAAGCCTTCTTTTCAAGTCTAATGAGATTTGTGGTTGTAGTACAGGAGATAGTAGTTCACTTTGAGCTTTTGAGATGATGATTAGCTTCTCCCAGCAGTAAAAATAATACTTCTTTGCCATGGATATGCATCATAACAACTGCCTGAAACTAAAAAAGTAGGAGCAAAAAAAGACAGGACAACTGTCCTAAGACACAATGCCTCAATACAAAATGACCATGAATAAAAGTCTACAGAAAGAATAAATCAGATTTACCCTAACACTGTATAACCCTCCCCCTCTAAACCCTCACATGCCCAATTTCAATATGGGGGGAGGGGAGGAGGCTGGTTGGTGAGTGTAGTAGAGTTCTCAAACACTCACATCATCATTCCAAAGATGAAGGAAAGCTCTGTGATGTCACAGCTAGAGTCATGCTTGTGATGTCATCAGCACTATATAAGTAGCAAACTTCTACCTTCTTGTCATTGCTTGCTACAGTACTGACAAGTTCAGACATACGCAAAGCCCTTTCAAAGTCAAACACTGAGATTCTTTTGCAAGACTAATTTGAAAAAGTATTGTCCAAACATGTCTCATGAAAGGCCAGAATACTTTAACGGCAGGATGAGACCCCAGCCGAGGGATTGGAGAGCTGAACAATATCATAACAACATATACCAGAGAGAGATCCAAAGACTTGGCTCTCTTCTAGAAATTCAGACAGGAAGATGGTTCGAGGAGCACCAGAAGGTCGCCTACGTCCAGAGAGAACTGGAGAATACCAAGGCAGAGTTACAAAGGCAGATAAAGCTAAAGGAAATGAAGAGACGACGACCAACAGCAGAAGAGCTTTCAAAGTCAGAGTCTCTGAGCCCTGGTGTTCTCGCTTCTCAGGTGCAAAGTGAAATAAAGCAGAAGCAGAAAATCCTGCTGCAGCAGGAATTCGAGCAGTTAAAGGCAGCGCATATTGCCAGCGAGAAAGCATTGAGGGCAGAAAAAGAAAAAAGTGACGTCCTTCAACTACAGCTGGATCAACTGAAGACTAGGTACGAGGAGCTTCAGTCAAAATATGAAGCGGCAGACAAGAGGAACCTGCAAACAGACATGCAGGTACTCTACGAAGATAAAATCAGGCAGGAGCAAAAACTCGTCGAAAACTTGAGAGGGGAGAAGAACGATCTCCAAGACAAAATGGCCAAGGAAATCGCCTGCCTGCAGGAAAATGAGAGAAATCTACAGACTGAGGTGGAACAGATTCAGGTGTCATACCAAGATCTTAACAGGAGGTATGAAGAAGATATTTCTGTACTGAGACAAAAAGCCGAACATTGTCAGTACGAGCTGAATTGTGAAAAAGAACTAAATTTGGAAAGAGCAAAGTATGACCATCATCTGATCAACACTCTCAGATCAGAAAAGCACAATGTACAGCAGAGAGCAGAACAAGAGTTCACTTGCCTGCAGCAGCAATCGACTGAGACGATTCAACATCTCAAAAGTGAACTGGAGCAGACTAGAGTTTCTTTCCAGGAACTTCAAACTCGATATGAAGGAGATGTTTCTGCTCTCCAAAAAGAACTGGCTGCCTTCCGACAAATGTACTCCAGCTGTGAGATTAAATACAAAACACAGCTGGAAAATTTGAAAACGGAGCTCCAAGACAAGGAAGAACTTGGACCTCCAAGAAGGAAAGTGGCCAGGCGAACTGAACCAAATGAGAACGATGCTACCCTTGACAATGACATCTCTGACGCTGCATCCATGGCTATGGACAGTCTTTTGGAGGAATCCACGTCAAAGGTCATTGAGGTACAAGATGTACCTCCCAAGGAGCTAAGAACCAGACGTTCTTCTAGAAGAACATCTGGTTCTTCTAGAAAAAGAAGAGCCTGAACCAGTGGAGGCAGTCGCCGAAGAAAAATCTTCAGTTTGGAAAACTATACAACACCCTTTGAAACTCAAACACCAACAAAAGGAAGAGAAGCAAGAAAACCTCCAGCACCTAGCAAAAAGTTTCCAGGTCAGAACCATTTGAAATTACATCTAATATTTTGGACCAAAACAAAAAATGTCTGTGGGTTTTCTCCGGGTGCTCCGGTTCCCACGAATGTCCAAAATGATGTAAATTGTCCTCAAAAAAGGTCATATTAATTTCTAGAAATTTTAATTTGCAAACGTTTAAGATTGGAGAAACAAAAAAAGTGATTTGCAGTGAGAAAAGCAAGAAGCTTGTTGTAGAGGATCTGTCCTGACTGAACCAGGACAGGTTCAGTCCTGGTTCAGTCGTCCTGAACCATTTAAATATTTTAGTAATATTTTGGACTAATAAAAAAATGACAGCATGGTGTTGCAGTGGTTAGTGCCGCATCTTCACAGAAAAGAGGACTTTTTCTGTCCTCTTTCTGTTTGGATGTTCTCCCTGTGTTAGTGGGGATTTTCTCCAGGTGATCCGGTTCCCCTCAAATTTCCAAAATCAAGTAAATGATTGACCAATGCACATTGTCCTCAAGAAAGATAGTATTAATTTTTAGAACATTTAATTTCAAATGGTTCAGACTGGAGAAACAAAAAAAGTCATTTGCAGTGAGAAAAGCAAGGAGCTTGTTTTGGAGGACTGGTGGACCGGTTCAATCCGGTCCTGGTTCAATCCGGATTGAACCGGATTGAACCGGTTCAATCCAGGAACTGTTCTCTTTCTGTGGACCTTTGTGCCACAATGTCAGTGTTTGGAGATGTGTTGTATGTTTTTTTTTTTGTTTCATGGGTTTAGTTTTCTGTCAGATGTCAGGTTCTACTTGTTGTCTATTTGGATCTAGGTCATTCTCCAGCTCTGTTAATTTAGCTCATGTTTGCCACCTGTCTCTCCTGATCAGTTATTCCCCTCACCTGTTTCCTGTGGTATTTAAGTTTGAGTCCTTGTCTGTTGCAGGATTCTTGTCTGTCAGTGTTGTGGTCCACCCGGTGCCACCCTTGTACTGCCAATTCGTGTCTGAAGAAAGGGAAAATTAAACTGCAAGATGCCACAACGCCGTTCGTCTTTTGGCTCACCTTTGCTTAAAAAAAACCTTCCCTGACAGTTTGCATGTTCTCCCCGTGTTAGTGAGGGTTTTCTTCGGGTGCTCCGGTTCCCTCTAAATTTCCAAAATGATGTAAATTGTCCTCAAAAAGGTCGTATTAATTTCTAGAAAATTTTATTTGCATACATTTCAGATTAGAGAAGCAAAAAAAGTAATTTGGAGTGAGAAATGCAAAAAGTCAAATGATTTTTGAGAAATGCAAGAAGTCTAAAGCTTCTTGTTTTAGACTTGAATTATGGTGTCATTTGAACCAAGACTGGTTCAGAACTGGTCCAGGTCAGTCCTGAACCATTTCCAAAACCTCAAATTACATCTCATATTTTAAACCAAAAAAAAGGGCAGCACGGTGTTGCAGTGGTTAGCACTGCATCTTCACAGAAAAGAGGACTTGGTTCTTAACCAACGCCTCTTTCTGTGGACGTTTGTATGTTCTCTTCGTGTTAGTGGGGGTTTTCTCCGGGTGCTCCGGTTCCCCCCAAATTTCCCAAATCATGTAAATTGGGGTGATTGACCATTGTAAATTGTCCTCAAAAAATGTAGTATTTATTTTTAGAAAAGTTGAATTTGTGAACCATTCGGATTGGAGAAACATAAAAAAAAGTCACATCCAGTGAGAGTTGAACTCTCCAAAGGTTGCCCTTTATGGAGTAAAAATAGTCTGAAAATATCTGTACGTGTGTAAAAAGATTTGTGCATGCGTAAAAGGATGGGTAAAAAGATTATAATGCATTCACTCCATACAAATGAGTCTCAAAAATACTCATGCACTCATAACCGGATCTGTGTGTAAATGCAGTTTTGTGTGTGTGTGTGTGTGTTTGTATGTGTGTACAAGGTGGCTTGTGCGTACTTTTTCAACATTTATAGGCGTAGGAGAAGGTTTATTTAAGGTTTACAAATCCAGTATTACACACACAGATATTTTTACACACATACAAAAACTTTTACACACGCACAAATACTTTTACACATGCGCAAATACTTTTACACATGTGCAAATACTTTTACACATGCACAGATATTTTCAGACTATTTTCACTCCACAGAGATTGTGTCAACTCAACCTGAGTTTAGATTTTGTGAATATTTATGTTGTAAAGAACTAAAGTCAGTTCCCTGATGCTACTGTGGTTGTTAGTAATTAAGTTTTAGCTACTAAGGAGAGGCGTGANAAACGATCCAAGTTTTACGGGTGTGGGTCGGTTGGACCTCATTTGTAAAAAAAATAGATTTAATTTTTGAAAATGTAATCACCGTCAACTGCGAAGTCAACTGCTGCTCCTTATTTTTTATCTTGTATTTTTGAGTTTTAGAAGAGCCTTCAGGGTATCTTCCAAAGGATAGATATTGTATAACATTGCCAAATATTAACGGGTCCATTTCTTGCAATTTTTCTCAATGTCGCGCAGTTTTCGAAGAAATTGGTCACAAAGACAGTATGCAGCTGTGCCAGTGTCAATCGATGTGAATGCACGTGGTTAATTAACCAATTTACACGTCAGAAAGATTTTGACGCAATCGCACGTAGTTTGATTTGCCGCGCCCCAGGGGATTGATATGTAACAGCACCAGGACAATCCTAAACATTATTTGGAATCAGTCTAATCAACGTAATGTCGCAGAAATGATTTTGATAAATGGTAAAATTGTTGTTTTGAGACTGTTTTCAACTAATATTGATATTGATAATTTCATAAGAAGTCATCTCAAATACAAATAAACTTTAATTTTGTAATGAACTCTTAGCACTCACAAAAATAAACGTTTTTTTTAAATATAAGATACTACCTTAAAAAGTTCAACAAATGACCTGTAAATAACATTTCTGGTGTTATTTTATCCTTGTGGTTTGGCTAAAATGTATAGTGAGATTTTATTGTTTTTCAAACGAATCAGAATAGATAAAATACACGGAGATATTTTATTATTTTTCAAACGATAAATCCTGAATATAAACATTTTAAAAAAATATTCAACATTTTTGAACCAATTAATAAGCTCACATCAGTTGATTTTTGTGTTTCTATTTTCACGAAGTACTCTGAGATCAAACTGCAGCGGCGTCATTTGTCCAGCAGGTGGCAATAAAGCACTTTTTATTGAACTGGCTGCTGCTTTAACACTGAAGAAGATCCGTTCTCGGTGGCGGAAGCATGGCGCGGGTTTTGTGCGGGGATGCCTTCCTCCGCTGCGGGCTCTGGAGGTAACAGCAGTGAGCAAGCGTCGATCTAGTGGAGGAGCTCACAATGGAGGACGGCTTTAGCCGGAGAGAGGCTTGCCCGATGAGCAGAGTGTCGGCTGCCGCGGACTTTAGCTACCGGGACTGCGAGCTGCTCAGTTCGACCCCTGGCCGAGGAGGCTACCCTGCCGTGGCCAGGCTGAGCTCTGCGGCCGCGGGGAAGATCATGGAGCGGAGGAAATCGGCACCGCAACTGGTCCACCAGCGACATATGCCGAGTGAGCCCAAGAAGTTCCACATACCGAGGAAAACCAAAGAGAAAAAGGGTATGATGCTCCGAATTAATGGTGTTCTATCTATAAGAGTTCAATTATCAGACAAGTATGTATCCATTCTCGGACACCTCCATCTTTCCTGCAAGTTTGGTTAGCCACAAGGCATTTAGATGCTTATCACCATGGTGTCATTTATGTAACTCTGCTCTTATGTAAAAAGATTATGTTTAGTCTCCAATCTTTATGTTCAGTTCAAAGATTTAATGTTGTTAAACTAGCGGCTAACGGAATAATGCAAAGCTAACAGCTAGCGGTAAGTCGCTTTAGTTACAAGCTTATAAACGTTTTACCATGTGGTAATATTTACTTATTTAAAATTATATCTTATTTTCCTGTTGTAGGTACTAAATTATACTTTGATTTTTACCGTAAAGCTTGTTTTTTGGCTTCATGTAGATTGTAGTTTTTACTAGCTAAAGGGAGGTAACCGCCTCCATGTTTACATTATTATAGCAGTTAGCAGCACGAGTATCCGGTTATGGATGCAGCAGCTAATGACAAAACGATATTACAGAATATCTCAAATTCATTTTTATTTTGCTGTACCATAGATGTAATAATTGATAATAGGCAAATAAACATTACGCTAGCCTTAAAATGGGTTATATTCACATGGAAGGATGTGAGAAACTAGTTTTGTTGATTTTTTTAAGTAACTCATATAAACAATGTAAGCCATGATTATTTTATTTACCTTGAGGGAAATATATTTTCCTAAGTTTTACTTTGCACGCAGACAAAAACTAATATTATGACCCTGCCTGATGGTATTATTCATGTGTCTGCTTTGCAATTTTTGCATTTGAGAAATCAAAGCTGCTCCTTATTTTTCAAGGTTTCCCAGATTTGATGACCTTCAGGCATCATATAATCATTTGTCTTCAGTTTACCTCACAAATGATCTGTTATTCAAGTCAGAGAGTTATGAACAGTCAGAAATGTTCACTTTGGTCTTTCACCTGTAGTGATGAATGTTTTTGGTCTTGTTGGAAGACAAAAGAATCATCCAGAAAAGGTTTTTATATATAATTTCAGTTTTTACTTAATGTTTTAGTTATATAGATTTTTAGTTACATCATTTAATTTATTTTTATATTTGTTTTTATTTTTTAAATTGTTTTGCTTATTTCTTTTTTAATTTTTTATACCAGACCAGTTTTACTGCTATCGGCTTTAGTGGGCACACTACAAATAAGCAAATTTAATAAACCAAAAATAAATATAGAACTAATCAAATGTATAAAAAAATACAGTACAGAAATATATACATTTTCATTTAAGATAAAAAAAATAAGCTTTTGACTGTAAATATGTACTACACAAAACTCCACAAGTGGCAGTTTTAGCTTCAACTGATTTAAATTCTGTGAAAAAAATCTCCTATTAGTCACCTTTTGCTATCTATTAATCATTTAATTACAAAATAATCAGATCAGTCTCAAACTGTTTTGATGTTCAGTCCAGCACAAACAGCTGAGTTTTTCTCATGATGGTAGAAATATTTAATAGCTGCAGATGGTCAGCTTTCACTAAAGAATGCTGTTGTTGCAGTTTAGTCAATAACATGATAAATGTTTCTTCTTCTTCAGCTCTGTTCCAGTTCGTCTCCACCGAGTCCAGGGAGTATGAGGACATGAAGACCATCCTGACGTCCGGCTACATCGACAGCAACTCTTCAGGTTGCTTCACTTACAGCAACCCTCGGCTCGTCCACAGCGAGCTGCTGGAGAAGGAAGTGAGCAACGACCTCATTGTTGCTTTTTGTTTCACTAGAATCCATCAAAAAGTCTCTTTTTACTTATCAGCTTTAAAAAAAGATGTTTTGGTTCAAATATTTTCAGTGATTTCCTGAACATATATAAGCCTTGAAAACAAACAAGCTGGTGCTGCAGAAGCAAAGGGATCAGCTGAACTGTTAGTAGCAGGAACACATGATGGACTTGAACTCTGGCGACTTGACAGAAAGGGCTGAAATATACCAAATTAAAGCTGCACCATATATGTTGTCATTACAAAATTCATAAAGCAAAGGCTGGTTAATAACATTTGGTTAATATATTCCAAGTGTTGTGAATAGCTCCACCAGTATGGCAGTATTTCAGATATATAAGCCAAAAAAAAAAAAAAAAAAAAATCAATAATTATCAATATGGACTGAAATGAAATGTTTATATCCTGAGAAGTATTTTGGCCATATCGTGCAGCCCTATGTTAAGTGTACAGGATCTTTAAGGAGAGAAATAAACGTGTTAAAGTTAAGAATAGTTTTTGCTCAATTACACTAGTTCCTTGGTTTTTACCTGCTGAGAAAATCGATGGTTTATGTTTCAGTTCGCGGAAAAACGGAGAGAGATGAAAGCAGACGGAAGGACGGATAAGGAGCTGGAGGAGAGCTACTGCTTCCTGATGACTAATTCAGTCAAGGTAGGACAAATAAGCAGCGATGTTTTCATAATAAAGAGAACAAATTCAGCTTTTTCTATTGTCTATTTAATTTTAAGGTTTTTTTTTTTTTTTTTACTCTTGCAGCTGCCTGTTCTCTGTGAGAAGGGACTAACTGTCGGTCGGAGCAAAAACACGGTGCTGGGAAACCCGAGTAAAGGTAGGAGACATGAATTAATCTAAAGTTTACTGTAATACAGCTGATTGTGGTTCTTGAGGGAATGTTAAAACTTCGCTCCATGAAGTGTATTAACTCAAAATCAGCCCTCACAATAAACCGTCCTTATTGACGTCACGTCTTTTTTCTATCCTGTTGCATTTTTATCTGCGTTATCCTCGCTTTACACACCAGTAATTTTTGGTTGAGAAGTTGAGCCTTATCCGCCATGAATCAGCGCTATTTACGGCGGAAACTTAGTGAGCTTGTCGAGTGCTTATATTTCAAAAGAGAAATGCATAAGATGAATTTTACGTCTCTTCTTGGATTCTGTTTGGACTGTTTCTTTACCGTTATGAGACTTCGCCGCCATCTTTGTTTTTGAATCAGTTGGGTCCGCTACTGGGTGATCAGCGGTGCCCTCTGCTGGATGGTGGCCAAACTACAACACCGAAAGAAGGTTTAAACGCGCGTTATTAGTTAAACCAATGAAAGTTATTTTAGTCTAGTAAATAATTTATTGATTATTATTTTATTTATTTGATTCAAACATTCTTAAAAATCAAATACCAAAATATATATTATATTTATATAACTATTTGTTAGAAAAAGAGGGAGCAGAAGTATAAACGTATTTAATCCTTCCTTTTATATGCCTTCCTTTTTTATTTTACACATTATTCTTTATTTAAAGAAAATAAAATATATAAAATAAAGCAAACAAAAATAATAATGGAATGAACATAATATATTTTTATGGGTTTGAACCAATAAAATAAATGGGGATTATGTCATTTGAATGATTTCTGTTACTGACTAGCTTCTTATCGACCAGTGATATTGAACATAGGCATCAAACAAGACAAGCATTGCTCTGAAACTAGAGATGAGGAGGAGAAAGTGTCTTTTTTCCATCAAAAATATAAATTTAAGTTTATGGTAGCTGTTGAGATGCTTTACCAAGGCCGAGAACGCTGTTAGACAAAGGGCCCATAGTAAAGAGTTACATTTTTGATTCTGTTAGACACCAAGGTCCATTTCTCACGAGAAATGGAAACTTATCAGGCCACAGAGATATGGTGTGATTTCAGGGAGTGTCTTCCGTCCATATAATCAGCTGCCCTCCTCTTTCTCCTGAGACGCTGCACAGACTTTTTTTAGAAACTCTTCTCGGATGTAATGGTAAAGCGTCTCCTTTCAGCGCTGAAAGTTAATAAAATAAGTAAAGTCTGAATGCTTTTCTTGGCTGATTTTATGCTCCGTGTGTCAATACAAATTATGATTCATCGATTGAGATTCTCGTTCTCAACATGGCCTAATAAATGTGGAAATATTTCCAGTGATAGTATTTGTAGTTATTTTTAAAATGTTTCTTATCATTAAATTGCAAGATTTCTTTCAAATCTGAATGTCCATCCCATTGGACATCAAGACTTAGGGTATAAGTCCTGATGATAATTAAATATTAACCAAAACTTAATTATCTAGTCTCACCATGCAAAGAAAAAAAAAATCTGTAAACATTTTATCTTATTTGTGGTTTCAAAATTTATTTTATTGCATTTTTTTATTTTAGTTTTTTATAGGTATAAATGTTGGCATTTTTAACAGCTTGTAAAAACAATTTAGTTTCTTTATTTTAATTTTGAATTGGAGTCAAAATTAGTTTTGAAGGGTGTCAAAGGTTAATTCCTAACATATGGTGAGAAAGTGATGAATATATATATATATATATATATATATATATATATATATATATATGTTATATATTATAATTATAATATATATATATGTTGTATATATTATAATTATAATATGTTGTATATATTATAATTATAATAGATAGATAGATAGCATAATGCTATATGAATTAAAAACAGGGCAATGCAATTTAATGCTCAATATTACCCATCAGATACCGTTTTCCCTGTTTTACAGTGGGGGAACGCTATCTAATGGCCATAAATCTCCCATCAGATACAGTTACCCCTGTTTTACAGTGGGGGAACGCTATCTGATGGCCATAAATCTCCCATCAGATACCGTTTCCCCTGTTTTAAAGTGGGGGAACGCTATCTGATGGCCATAAATTTCACATCAGATAACGTTCCCCCTGTTTTACAGTGGGGGAACGCTATGTGATGGACATATTTCACCCATCAGATAGCGTTCCCCCTATGTTAAAATCACCCATCAGATAGCGTTCCCCCTGTTTTACACTGGGGGAACGGTATCTGATGGAGACATTTCACCCATCAGATAGCGTTCCCCCTATGTTAAAATCACCCATCAGATAGTGTTCCCCCTGTTTTACAGTGGGGGAACAGTATCTGATGGCCACAGTT